CTTGGGCTCTGAAATCACTGCAGATAGTGATTGCAGCCATGAAATTAAAAGATGCTTGTTCTTTTGGAAGGAAAGTTATGCCCAACCTAGACAGCATATTAAAAAGCAGAGACATTACTTTGCCAGCAAAGGTCCGTCTAGTCAAGGCTATGGTTTTTCCAGTAGTCATGTACGGATGTGAGTCAAGTTGGACTGTAAAGAAAGCTGAGTGCCAAAGAATTGATGCTTTTGAACTGTGGTGTTGGAGAAGACTCTTGAGAGTCCCTTGGACTGCAAGGAGATCCAACCAGTCCATCCTAAAGGAGATCAGTCCTGGGTGTTCATTGGAAGGACTGATGCTGAAGCTGAAACTCCAATACTTTGGCCACCTGATGCGAAGAACTGACTCATTTGAAAAGACCCTGATGCTGGGAAAGATCGAAGGCAGGAGGAGAAGGGGATGACAGAGGATGAGATGGTTGGATGGCATCACTGACTCAATGGACATGAGTTTGAGTAAACTCCGGGAGTTGGTGATGGACAGGGAGCCTGGCGTGCTGCAGTCCATGGGGTTGCAAAGAGTTGGACACAACTGAGCAACTGAACTGACTGACTGACTGAGGATTTGTCTTGGGCCTTCCAGTCCCCAAAGTTCAAGGAAACAAACCCTGCCTTTGTCTGTCCTTCTTTGGTTCTGACATGAGTCCAGCACTTTATTTGTTTTCAAGCATTTTTCATATTCACAGTTATTTTTCAGCCTGAGATTAGGCATTTCTGCAATTTACTTCAAGACTGCTGTACCCTGGAGTGCTTGGCTTTCTCCCAGAATCAAAGTCACCGATCCTAGACCCTCCCCATCCCTGCTGGAGTGTTACACAGCCTAGAAAGCAGAGAACAGAGGGAGAGGGCAAGGACTTTGGTACCACGTCAGCCTGAATTTCTTTTTTTTAAGTTGGTCATTAATAAGGACAGTGAGTTTACTTTTTTAAAAAATTTTAAGTCTTTATTGAATTTGCTACAATATTTCTTCTGGGTTTTTTTTTTTTTTTTGGCTATGAGACATATGGGACCTTAGCTTCCTAATCAGGGATCAAACCTACATCCCCTATATTGAAAGGCAAAGTCAACCGCTGGACCACCAGAGAAGTCCAAGCCTGGATTTCAATTGCTACTGACTTGGAGGGAGACTTTAGACTTCTCACATAGTCTCATCTGTAAAAATGGAAATAATAATACCTATCTTTAGATATTAGATATAGGTATGTGAAAACTCAGTAAAGGTTCTCCTTTTCCTTCCACTTTCCTGAGAGCAAGGTTGGTGTCTCATGTTAGGTCCACACACAAGAAAACTGCAGCCTTTGTCAACAGAAGATTCTTGGTGATGTTTGTCAACCCCATGAGTAGAACTGCTTTTTCTCTTGACCTTAGGCAACTCTGTCCCTCTTTCTGAGTCTCACTTTCCTATCTTTTAAATGGGGATATGTGTGCAGGCATGCTAAGTTGCTTCAGTTGTGTCCAACTGTTTGTGACCCTATGGACCATAGCCCACAGGCTCCTCTCTCTATGGATTCTCCTGGCAAGAATACTAGAGTGAGTTGCCATGTTCTCCTCCAGGAGATCTTCCCAACCCAGAGATTGAACTGGCATCTCTTATATCTCCTGCATTGGCAGGCAGGTTCTTTACCTCTAATGCCACCTTGGATGCCCTTAAATGGGAACAGCAGTACCCAAATAACTGTAAGAAGAACTATGATTTACTGAATGTTTACTAGGTATCAGGTACTCCAGGGCTTTATGGGTATATTTTAATTTAGTCATCATAATAGGCCCATGAGGCCAGGGCTATTTATATCCCCAAGGTCTCAGAAGAGGACACTGAGGCCCAGAGAAGTAAAGTCCACGAGTCAGTCAGCTGCTAAGGGGCAGAGCTGGGATATAAATTCTGTTTTGCAGTACTCAAGACCATGATTTCTCACTGAGATGACATTTTAAGCCAGGTAATTCTTTGCTGTAGGGGACAGTCCTGTGTACTATAGGATGTTTAGCAGCATCCTTGGTTCTACTCACCAGATGCCAGCAGTACCCATCACCCAGTTTGACAACCAAAACTGTCTGCAAACATTGCCAAAAGTCCCCTGGTAAGCAAAATCACCCTTAGTTAAGAATCATTGCCCTAGACACTAGATCCCAGACAGTGTTTTTTCTCTGCAATAAGAGCAAGCCAGGGAAGCTTCTTTCCCTTCAAGTTTCCAGTAAAGAAAATCAGCTGCAGATAGCTACTACACTAATGCTAATACTATTTCATATTAAACAGCCCACTTCCACTTACAAAGTGCTTTTTCACACACTAGTTTGTCTGACTATTCCAGGGGAGACAGCACACACACAGAAGTGTCTAACACTGGGTCCAGCACTTATTAGGTAAAATCTTGATTTTCTTTTATTGGCTAGATGAAACAATGGAGGTTCAGGGAGATTAAGTGACTGTCCCAATGTTACACAGCTAGTAAGGGGATACTGTCATTTGTTATATTGATTAGCCAGTTAACTGTATTCTCAATTCTTGGACTTTAATGCTGAGTCTGCTTTCATTGGAAGTTACAAGGCAGATCAGAAGGCTATATAGTTCAACTTCCTATTGTGTGGTATTCAATCCTGGATTAGCATTGCCAGATAAAATGCAAGATGGCTAGTTAAATTTGAATATCATATGAAAAATTAGTAATTAAAAAAATATAAGTATGTTTCATGCAACTGTTCCTAATACCAGGGATGACAGTGGCCCTGGGACCCCCTCTGGAGAATGAACAGCAGGGTGCAATTGGTCATGTGCTCAGAGGGAGCACTCGTATTCTAAGATATTAGAGGAAAGGCCTTCTGACCAGGCTTTCCCATCTAACTGAGATTGGTCACCTCTCTCATGGGAGGATTTGAGATTTTAGGGGGAACCCAGCTGAGGCAGGGGCTGACACAGTCTCTAGGACATCCAGAAATAGATGTAGATGATGACAATGAAGTCTAATCAGTAAGGGAGAAGGGAGAGCAGGTGTGTCATGGAGAGGTGATGAGCTTAGTTCTGGAGACGCTGAATTGAGGTCTCTGGTCGTGCCCAACAGGCAAGTGGATATGAGTCCAGCATAGATACAAAGTAGAGAGTTAGGTATCATCAGGGTGTGGATGGTGGTCAAGATCTTGAGAAAAAATGAGATGGCTATGGCAGAACATATGAAGTAGAAAAGGGACTGGCCTAGAAGCCCGAGGAAGACCAACAGGAAGGAGTGGGCAGTGGAGGAAGACTCACCAACAAACACCCAGAAGGAAGGAGCACCGGGAGAGACGGGGAAACCAACAGAAGGAAGGGGCGGGAAAGCTGAGGGAAGAGAACGTGTCAGGGAGAGGGGCAGTACAGTCAGCACTGTCAGACGCGGCTGACAGGTCACGCAGGTGAGGTCAGGGAGATGTCCACTGAGAATGTGGTTCTTTAATGCTGCTTGTTGTATCCCACTTTGACTTCATGGGGAATTAATCCCACCTTACATTAAGCAAAGGCTACTAAGTTAACAGTATTTTCTGTGCAGAAATTGAATTTTGTTTTCAGCCTTTAGCTAAAGACTTTCTCCAGTAGGTGCTCAGCTACTTAAACCCATAAAATTATTCTCAAACATTCATCATTTAAAAAAAAAAATGTGGTTCAGGGATGTTCATCACAAAAATTTCTGTGATAGCTGGGTTTCCCTGTGTGTGTGTGTGTGTGTGTGTGTGTGTGTGTGCCCGTGTATATACAGAAATGATCACGCGCCAAGCCAGGGCATGCAGAACCATGTGCAAGGACAGGCTGGAGGCCACCACAGGGTGGTTTGTGGTCAGCCCACAGAAAGCCTTCATTTACTCTAGCAGCTTTGGGGAAGGAATATTAAAGTAGGCTTTGAAGACTGTGAGCACAGGTCAACCCTTTCACTGTCCAATGGGAAAACGGAAGACAGCAGAGAGGGAACCATTTGCTCAGTCTGTGAGTCAAGGACACAACCAGAACTTGAATCTGAGTCTCCTGCTTCTAGAAGAGTGACTTTGGGAGAAGTGGACATGAAATCCTCACTGGCCAATAAATTATAGATCAGTGACTTTGCTCATCACCTCAGTTTCTAGACAACTCTTTTTAGATTTATATAAAAGTGAAATACATACTTTACATACAAAATGTAAACATTACAAAAATACCTAACAAAGAAAGCAAATGACTCCTGTTATTCCAGCCCATGCCCTCACAGACAACAACAATTAAGTTTTGTCTACATCCCTCTCTCCCTCTCTCTCTCACTTAACATTGAAATTTTTAATAAAAATATTATTCTTGTTTATGCTAGATGTTGTTTTGTGTGTGTGCACATGTTCATTATAACTGGCCTTTTTTCACTTTTGGACAACTTTCAGCACAGAAATGAATTCATTTGAACAACTGTACTATATCATTTGGTTTTGGGTCATAATTTGCTACCAGACCATACTGATGGACACGAGGTTGCATAAAATTTTCACTATAATGAACAATGTACATATATATTATTGTACACACATATTTGCACAGTTTGGGAGTCTTAAAAGGAGAAATGAAAAAAAAAATGAAAAAAAAATAAAAGGAGAAGTGATGGAGCAAAGCATGTAGACATTTTGTTTTAAAAGATACTGACAAGTCATCCTCTAAAAACCTGTTTGTTATCCCACCAAAAGCTTATGTGAATGCCCATTTCCCTGCATCCTTACCAACAACAGGTATTATCATTTAACAAAATCTTTCCAACTTAAATGAGGCTGAAAATCTTTTCATATCTTCATTATCCATCTCTATTTTTCAGTGAATTACCTATTCATATCCTGTGCCTGTAATTGAAGTGTATTTTGGTCAGTAAATTCTTATTGGGCAATAATGATTGGTTTGATTAAAATAAGTCTGAGAAGACTTTGTACCAAATTGCTAAAAGTTTACCTCCAGGGACCAAGAGAAAATGAGGGAGATACTTTCATTTTTTATTTTGTATCATCTTGTATTATTTTACAATGAATTATATTACTTTTGTAATTTAAAAAAATACATAGGAAAACAGTAACAGCTACAAATGTTTGGCCTGGATTCTCATGGCTATAAATTCATGTTGAGTTCAAGTTTTTATTAATCACAACTTATTTTTTGGTACATATGCAGAAACCATTTATTGAATGCCTTCTGGTTAGCTGGCACTGCCCTTGGCACTTTCATAGGCTTTTCATCCTCATCCTCACAACAGCCCTGTGAGGTAGGAATTGGCTCTGCTTTATAGGTAGGAGATAATTGTTTGAAATGCTTCTATTTGCCTATTTTCATGGGCTAGAGGTTCTTATCGGCTGGTGAGTCATTGGTCAAGAACTCTCACTGGTCAGGAGTTCCTAGAGGTTGCTCTAAGATTCAAATAATCAAGCTACTAGAATTCTTCCCCAATAGGAGTGATGGGGTAGCGGGGACAGGAGTGGAGGAGAGTCAGTGGTCTCTCCCTTTGTAGCACCATTTGAGTTTGCTTTGGTCACTCATGCACGGTTGGGGGAGGGCATGGGGGAGAGGAGGGAAAGTGGTTATAAGTCTTCTCGCTTCTTCAGGATGAGCTTCCTCACAAGCGCTGTAACCTGGGGCCTGATTTCCTCCACCGACACAGTTGGGTCCCAAGCTCCTACCACCTTTCCATCTGGGGCCACCAGGTACTTCCAGAAGTTCCAGGTAGGCTCCTTTCCAGAAGTCTCTAGAGAAAAGGAAGGAGAGAAGTGTGCTTCTCTGTGTCCCGTTTCCTGGAACTCCATTAGCGGTATCCATCCCTCCCCTGAAGCCCTGGTTCTATTAGTTAGAATGAGCTGCAGAACTTTTAAAGATCCTGATGTCCAGTCCATACCCACAGACCACTTAAGGAAGAATCTCTGGGGGTAAGATTCAGGCATCAATATTTTCTAAAAGTTTTCCAGGAAATTCCAATGTGGTGCCGAGGTTGAGAACCATTGCTTTAGAATTCTGTGAACTGCCTGATAAGACAATATCTGATCTTCCTTTATTAATGATCTCAGAGACTTCCCTGGCAGTCTAGTGGTTAATATTCTGCTTTCACTACAGGGGGCATGTGTTCAATCCCTGGTTGGGGAACTTGGATTCTGCATGCTGCATGGTGTGGCAGCAAAAAAACAAAAAGTTTTAATGACCTCAAACTACTGCATAGTCTATAACCTATTCTCTGATTTAATTCTTTTTTAAAGAGTATTTATTTAATTTATTATAACACTGCTTCATGTTTTGGTTTTTTGGCCACGAGGCATGTGGACTTTTAGCTTCTCCCCACCAGGGATCGAACTAGCACTCCCTGCTTTGGAAAGGGAAGTCTTAACCACTGGACCACCAGGGAAGTCCCTGATTTAATCTTAATGGTTCCCATATGTTAGTCCTTGGACTGGTTGCATCTGAATCATGGTGGTGGTGGTGGAGCGGGTGCTTATAATTAAACAGATTCTTGGGTCCTGCTTCAGTAGGTCTCAGGCTAATGTATTTTAAAGAGCTCCCCAGGTGCTTCTAAAACACGGCCAGGTTTGATCTATAACGATGGGAACTGGGAAGGAACTAATAAAAACACACAGGGGGAAAAGAATATTAGGACTGACCCACAGAGAGACCTTTGGTTTGCAACACTGCTGTTTGTCATGTACTCTTCAGGTGAATGGGTTGGGGGGAAGGGCAGTGAGGGATATGAAAGCACAAAAGGGATATGGAGTGGGAGGTGGGAGGAGGCAAAAATGGAGCCCCCAAAGGAAGGGAAAGGCCTGAGAAAGGAAACAGGACTTAATGACAAGCTTGGCTAATGACCCCATTTTGTGGTTCTCAGGCTTCTGGGAAGAGATCTGTTTCTCAGATACTAAGATCTTTTCTTTTTCTTTTGGTATTTTGGGGCTTTTTTTGCCGTGCCTGACAGCTTGAGAGATCTCAGTTCCCTGACAAGGCACTGAACCCAAGCCCTGGAAGGCAATGAAAGTGCTAAGTCCTAACCACTGGACTGCCAGGGAATTCCCAAGAGCTGGTATTTTAGCTTAGAAGGGTTTCCCTCCTGTGGTCTACAGACTGACTGCCTCTGACTCAGGACAGGAGATACCTGCCAGCCTTCTCCAGGAATGTGGTGTCCCCTGTTTGAAGCTAAAATCTGAGAGTCCAGTTTCCTTCTAGGAGCCCCTGTGGATGGTAACAGGAACGCAGAGAAGCCTGCAGAGTGACTCTGGGGGAAACTGCAAGGCAGTAAGGGTGGAGATATTCTTCGGCAGGAATATTCTTCAGTTCATCCTCAAAGATTTGTGCTAGAATAGACCATCAACCCAGCTGGGGGCATCTAGAAGGGGCCCCAGGTCACCCAGCCAGCCAGTAGCTTCTGCTGCCCAGCCAGCTGAGGGATGGTGAAGGAAAGGCAGGACTCACCAGTCAGGAACTTGAAGGCAGGGTGGGCACCAGTGCCGGTGACTGCAATCTTGCTAAACATGGGGAAAGAGACACTGTATGTGCGGCGGGCAAAATTCTCGATCTCCTTGTTGCTGTCGGGCTCCTGCTGGCCAAACTGGTTGCAGGGGAAGGCAAGCACATTGAAGTGGTGGGGCCCCAGGTCCCGCTGTAGCTGCTGCAGGGCCCGATAGTGCTGGTCTGTGAAGCCGCACTCGCTAGCCACATTTACCACCAGGGACACCTGGGCAGCAAAAACAAAACCCAAACAAATACAACCCAGAGAAGAGGCACATGTCCTGACATACCCACATGTGTGACCCCTCAACAATGAAAGCTTTCTCTCATATATGCAAGAACACAGTGTATACACATGTAAACAATGCTCTCACATATACACAAACACATATACACAGGCACAAATGAAATCAAACATGCAGGGGCTTACAGATACGTGTGCATACACATACATAAACACTCAGAATAAGCACACAATGGACATCAATGGGTCCGCCTATGGCCCAGGACACAAAGATACTTTAGCACACATCACACATGCCCACAAACACAGAACACCATTACAGAGAGACGCATACATACTGGTGAACTCCCATCAGGAGGTGATACAGGAGACAGAGGCAGACCTGGGTTTAATTTCTGGCTCAGTCAGCTAGCAGTCATCATTCTATACTGGAGTTGCCTATATACTTGTTGGTCTCCCTTCTAGAATGTGAACCTGCTGAGGGCAGGAGCTATGTTCACTTCACTGGGGCTGACATATGGAAAAGTCTTAGAATGTATGTGCTGAGTGAATGAGTAAGTGTGCACATACAAATGACCACCTATGTAATGGGTACATAGACAGACATGGTTTTCTTGATAAAAGGATCTCAAGAACCTCGGGGCAATCCTTTTTTGCCCTTCTCCCTCCAGCAAACAAATACCGCTTCTTTCTCTCACTAGACTAACCTTTAAATTTATAATTGCCTTATAACACATTTATTCATTGCCTTCAGGTAATAAATAAAAAGTGGCTGATGGAACTCGATTATATGACTGCAATTACAATTTTGGCACCAATGCTATATTTTTCAGCTTCTGGTTACATATTATTGCAGGATTTAAAATCTTACCCTGTATCTGGGCAGCCAAGTCCTATCAATCTGGCCACCTTTTAATAATACAAGTGGCAGGATTATACCAGTTGGCTCCATAGAGAGCCAGGGGCAGCTCAGGGCACTGGACATGCTCAGGCTGGGCAGGGTTTCTCAACCTCAGCACTATTGACATTTGGGGGTAGAAAATCTGTGTTGTGAGGTGGCTTCCCTGTTCACTGTAGAATGTCTAGCCACATCCTTGGCCTCTACCCACTAGACGTCTAGTCTTACTAATCAAAAATATCTCCTCTAGACATTCCTGAAAGTCCCCTGGGGAGAAAGATCACCACCAGCTGAGAACCACTGGGCTGGATGATGAGAACCACTGAGCTGTAACACCCTCACGCATTTCTTGGGGCCCCAGCCTGTGGCTGGTTTGTCATCATATGCCATATTGTGAGACCCGTTTAGCTCCCTTCGCTAGCTGGAGGTCTTCCTCTTTCTTCTCTGCTGGATCCCTGGGCACTGAGAGCATTAAAGGTTGTTTGTTTCTAACCTACATCTTGTGTGTCTGCCCATATTTTTGGAAAGAGGGAAATCCTACTTCTGTTTCCATGCCTGAATCCAAAAAGCTTATCTTTAAGTGACCAAAACACAGATGTGTGTATGTGCTCAGTCACGTCTAACTCTTTGTGGCCCCACAAACCATAGCCCACCAGTTTCCTCTGTCCATGGGATTTTCCCAGGCAAGAATACTGGAGTGAGTTGCCATTTCCTCTTCCAGGGGATCTTTCCAACTCAGGGATTGAACCTGTCTCCAGCACTGGCAGGCAGGTTCTTGACTACTGAACCACCTGGGAATTTCAAAAATATAGATACACCCAAATACACACAGTTAATTTATACATATACATATATAAGTACAGATGCAAACTCACATGTATATGCAAAATAAATAAACCATTCACACTGGGGGCATTTCCCTGGTGGCTCAGATTATCGAATCCGCCTGCAATGTGGGAAACCTGGGAAGATACCCAGGAGGAGGGCATGGCAATCCACTCCAGTATATTCTTACCTGGAAAATCCCCCTGGACAGAAGAGCCAGGCAGGCTACAGTCCATGGGGTTGCAGAGAGTCAGACATGACTGAGCGACTAAGCAGCACACAAACACTACACTCAGGCCTACATGTACATAACCTCACAGCACAGGCAAAGGGATTCCTGGGTGTCACGCATTCATCCACACTCCACACTGGTCTGAAGGACTGTCCCCCAGTTTGTGCCTGAGGACACAAGCCATACAACTTTGCCCATGGCTGTGTTTCCAGGGCACATATGGCCATGTCTCCCTGTGGCAGGCACAGAGTATTTGTAAGGTAGCCAGTGTTTTTTTTTTTCTTCTAATTAAAAAACAAAAAAAAACCTATAGTAAAATACACATAATGAGCCAGTAGCTATTTGCAGGTGAATGAATGACCATACTGCCAAAGGGGCAGATGAAGCTTGGGTTAATTCATAGTATCATTTACAGCTTCCTGGCCTGACTGTTCCTGGTTTCCCTCTAAAGCTGGAGATTAAGACATGGGCTATGGAACTGGACTGCCTGGCCTCAAATTCTAACTCTATCTCTTAGCAGCTGGGTGACTTTGTGGATTTTTTTGTTTTTGTTTTTAAATTTCTTTCTGATTGAATTCTAGGCCTCTCACTCCAGTGCTTTTTTAGGATTTACCAATGACCTAGAGGACGAAAACATTCATAACTCTGGGACCACTTTCTGGATAATTTTTTTCCAGGATTTCTGTTCCTCATATCCTGGATGCCTTATTACTTCTAAAAACAGTCTTTGTCTGTTTTTGCCTTACTACCTATTACCTATTAGAAACTATATTGTTCGTGTCTCTGTTCTTTGTTTCCTGTATGTCTCCTCTCAACCTCATATAAGCTCTATTAAAATTGAAACTTAGCCACTTTGTTCACCGTTGCATCCCCTGTACCCTCAGGGTTGGCATGGTACTTAGTATATAGTAGGTGCTCAATAATAAATGAGTTAACGAGTAGTAGAGCTGGTCAAGTGTTAAACCTGGGGCTCTCTGATGAGCTGCACTAGAGGGAAGGGAAGGCCGGAATGGGAAGGGGTCCTGCTCTGACTGGCTGTTTCCCTGAGTCCTGGATGAGATTTCTGCTGGGGCCCAAGAAACACAAGCACAGAGCACTCTACCAGGGGTTTCCACACTGCACGTCATTTGAACCTCACAATACCTTGGGGAGGGGGGCAACCTGGACAGGGGCTACTGTCCCCAGGACTCCCAGCATAATTGAGAATTTCAAGGGGTAGAGAATACTTTCTTCATTGAAGATTGCCTTGCTCGTGGAAGATTGCTAACAGCCATTTTCTTGTGTGGTTCATCCAAACCTGGAGGCTGAATCTACCTGTCCATTAGAGACCAACTCCTTACCCTTCCCACACAGAGACCCAGGTCTACCTTGAGAAGTGAACTTGGAGGGCTCTTCGTTTCACACAGTGAAACATTTAGGTCTCCAAATAAAGTGTTTAAGGCCCTTTTTGATCACTCCCTACCCTCTTTAGCCTCATCTTTCAGTGTCATGCTTTATACTCCTTCAAGCACAACTGCTTGAGGACCTCACTACCCCTCATCACCCTTCTTGCTGTTTATTTCTGAGCCTTGCTTCCCTGGTGGCTTAGATGGTAAAGAATCCACCTGCAATGCAGGAGACCTGGGTTCAATCCCTGGGTTGGGACGATCCCCTGGAATAGGGAATGGCTACCCACTCCAGTATTCTGGCCTAGAGAACTCCATGGGCAAAGAAACCTAGCAGGCTACGGTCCATGGGGTGGCAAAGAGTCGGTTCCACTTGGCACTGACAGTTCTCTTTGCCTGAAATGCTCTTCTTGGTTTTGCTAAAACTCACTCTTATTTCAAAGACTCACCCAGGCACACTTCCTCTCTCAAGGCCTCTCTGAGCTGAGATGCCCCTTCTGTAAGGAGGTAGCAATTTGGCTGGATGACTCTTCCATCTCAACCTGAGCTGCCATCTTAAAAGTCTGCCTAGAGGAGACCACAGATGGACGGGCAGTTCTGCGCCAGGCTTCCTGCTTTCTAGCGCTGTGTGAACCTCCATCTCTGGGCCTTAATGTACTCTCTAAAACTGGGCTCCCCAACCTCTGAGCTCTATTGCCTGATGACCTGAGGTAATAAAAATAGAAATAAAGTTCACAATGAATGTAAGGCATTTGAATCATCCTGAAACTACCCCACCCTGCCCACCCTCTGAAAAAATGTCGTTAATGAAACCAGTCCCTGGTGCTAAAAAGGTTGGGGACCGCTGCTCTAAAAGATGATGTGTAAGGTACCAGTGCCTCTGAAATGATAACTTCCTCTGCACCGAGCTTTCATTTTCATAGTGTTCTCACTGCACTTAATATCGCTAACTGCCTCTGTTCCGGTCGCGGAAACTGGGGACGGGAGAGACAAAGGCTGCTCCTGTTAATTTTTAAACCGGTGCGTGACAGGCTGCGCCCCGCGGCCCAAAAGCGCTGGGAGGGAAATCGGCGCGAGCAGCGAGAGTTTCGGGTTTCACCGCGCACGCCGGGCTGTGCCACGTCGTCATGGGACAGACCCGGCCGAGGATCTGGGGGCGCCACGCCCGGGGGGGGGGGTGCCTGGGTGGGGGCGGGGAGCCAGGGCTGGGTGACCGAACCCCCCGAGCCCCACGGAGCCCCATCCGGCAGGGTCCTAGGCGCCCGGCTCCCCGGCCAGGGTCCGGCGGGGCGGCGCTGAGGCCCGGCGGGCGGACACTCACCGAGCCTCGGTACTTCTCCAGCGACACCAACTTGCCCCGGATGTTGACGGCCTTGAAGTCGTAGAAGTCCTGCTCCCGCGGCGCGCAGGCCGCCGCAGCCAGGAGCAGCCACGCCGCCGCCCGTGCCGCCACCATGTCTCGCTCCGGAGCGGGCGGCGTGGCGAGGGCAGAGGCCGGGCAGGGGGCACGGGCGCCGCAGGGGCGGGAGGCAGGAGGGGGCGGCCCCGGCGCCACGCGGCCCTCCAGGCAGGACGCGCCCCCTTCTTCCCAGCGGGCGGTGGAGCGCCGGCCTCTGGACCTCGGTCTCCCCATCTGTGCTGCAGGAGTGCTGGGCTCCGCGCCCCTTCCCCGACCCTAGAGCCATGGTTTCAGGATTCTGACCACTGAGACCCGAATTCGTTTCAATGAGGTTTCCTCTTGTTCCAGGATGCAGGGAAAGGGAGTGGAAAAACTGCATGTGGGAGCTCCTCTTCTGATTAGTGCCCTTTGGCTGGTCGCTTCCCCTTTCTGGGCCTCAGTTTCTCAACCGTTCCCTTCCTGACGCACCTAGACAGGACAGAATAATCGCAATAGAAAAACGGATGTGAAACGTTTTGAATGGTGCCTATGAACTTTGGGTGAATGAATGAACATTCCCTAAAAGTGATGGGACAAAGAAGACAAGACAGAGGGCGAATTTCAGGTTGGATTCCTGGGAAGCAGATTCTGAGATGGAGATTTGCAGTGCAGGATGTTTGTGGGGGAGTGCCCTTGGCATGAACACCTGTGCAGGGAGGGAAGGAAGTGGAGTGGGCGGAAGCCCAGAGCTCCATGCAGGCTCAAGGACAGTCGTGGCTGATCCTGCAGGGGCTCTGGAGCTAGAATGGCCCGTCAGAGTTGTCCCCAGGTGAGCTAAGGTGACCAGACCAGGCCTTTATATCCCTGCCTTCATCTCTCATGGGTTGTGGGGCCATCTAGGAAGAGGTATGACAGGAACCAAGGTATCTGTGGTGCGTGGCTGACAGTTAAAGGCTCTTCACTGACAGCATTCCCAACAGCTGGTGTTCCAAGTCTTCCCTGATGGGGCTTCCGGGAAGCATGTCACAGTGTCTCCCAAACTTGGAAAACCCTTAGGGTGCCCCACTCAGTGCCAAGCATGGTCCTGAATGCTGACACTCTCCAGGGGCTCGGAAGCTGGTGTGAGAAAACTAGTTTTCATGTAATGCAGCATGGACTAAGCACTTCTACAGTCACTCAACAAACGCTTCTTCCAGTTGTATACCAGGTCCTGCTCTAGGTGCTCTAGGTGCCTTTCATGCAAAGGATAGGAGAAGACAGAGAGGCAGGTAGGTGTGAGGTCACACAGTCCTGACAGGCCACAGTGAAGATTATGACCCTTAAGCCAAGAAATAAAGCTTCTTTTTTTCAGGCCCTGTGGGTTTTGGTATTTTTTGTTCCCTGACCAGGGACTGAACCTGGGCGCTCAGCTGGAAAAGCTGAAGAGCCCTAACCTAGCAGTTCGGTTAGGGAACTGAACCACTAGGGAATTCCCCGAAGCTGCTGCTGCTTTTTTTTAAGCAGGGGAGAGACAGTGAGTCCTGTGTTGCAGAAAGAGTCCTCTGGATAGGAAGAGGCAAGAGCAGATGTGCTCCATACTCTGTGATAGAGGAAATTCTGGGGTTTTGAGACCATTGCTAACCTAGCCACCAGGGAAAGCCTCTTGGAGGTGGTTAACACCAGGATCATGTCTTCAAAGAGGAATGGGAATTCTCCAGCTTGGGAAGGAGGAGGGGAAACTGTCTGCGAAGACACAGAACCCAGAAGAAGTACTTGGCTGTTAGGTGAGAAGGGGTAAACGATAGATGAGGCTGGAGGGGTCATCAGGGGCCAGAAGAAGAAGGGTCTGGAGAGCCAAGCCAAGGAGCTTGGACTTCATGCTCTAGAGTATGGCAGGCAAAGGTTTTGAAGCTGGGCATAAGGTTATACAGGTGACAGGACTCAAACCCGGGCCTTCAGATTAAGAACATGAGTTCTTTCTGTACACCAGGGCAGCTTCTCTCTTCAGAAGCAGACAACATTTTAAGGAGGTGTGGAGATTAGGAAAACGGCTGCTCTCGGCAAGGGCCAAGGCAAAAATAAAGTACTCCTGCCTTCATACTCCTCCTTCCCCATGTCTTATGGGAGTCTTGAGGCTGTGATGGGTCCTATGGAATAAAATGGTCCCCTCTTTTCTGCCCTGCCCTTGTGAATCTTTTGGTCTCACTTCCTGCCATCTGTCCCTTTCACTCAGCCTTTCCTTGCAAGTCCCAATCACCAGGAGATCTCAAATTCTGCCCCACAAAACCTGGGAGTTTTGCAAGCTTGGCCAACTTATTTCCTGTTACAATCCAGATACCCAGGCATTTCTAATAAGGGGGGGGGGGGGGAATTGTGGTGAATTTGTAAATTTCGCTTGTAAATTTCTCACAGGGCATTTCCCTCCTTCCTGTTCATGCTTCAGAACCCAGCTCAGATAACATCCTTCTCTGTGGCTGCACTTAATCATCCTCTCCTCTCTGTTGCCTTTGTACTTAGGACATTTTCCTGTTAGTGAGCTGATGATAATATTGTGTAGTTGTCTGTTTCCATGGTCTATCACCCCATCATACCTGAGTCATCTTTGTGCCCCCCGGCACAAGCTAGCTATTCAGTAAATACTCATTTTTCTTAAATGTTCTGGTGACTTTTACTACTTGTCTATACTGGAATCTAATATGAAATGTTGATTTTAGCCAACAGTATATATTTTATCAGGTTTCCCAGATGGTGCTAGTGGTAAAGAATCTGCCTGCCCATGCAGGAGACATAAGAGATGCGGGTTTGATCCCTGGGTTGGGAAGATCCCCTGGAGGAGGGCATGGCACCCTGGGTTGGGAAGGTCCCCTGGAGGAAGGCAAGGCAACCCACTCCAGTATTCGTGCCTGGAGAATTCCATGGACAGGAGCCTGGCAGGCTACAATTCATAGAGTTGCAAAGAGTCGGACACAACTGAAGCAACTTAGCACACACGCATATATTTTATCATTTTATTTTCAGTCTACTCTATAAATTTTTGGTGTTTCTGAAAGAGCACAGATGTTTCTAGGTAGTCCATTGACACAAACATGAGACCTCCAGGCACAGACAAATGCACCCATAGTCTCAGCTGAGCATCTGGAGGAGTAGAGGACTCAATCCTGGATCCCCCATACTCCTGTTCCCTATAATAAACTCAAAGAAGCTTTTTATGGATATTTAGAATTCTTACTGGGCTTCCCTGGTAGCTCAGCTGGTTAAGAATCCACTTGCAATGCAGAAGTCCTGGGTTTGATCCCTGGGTTGGAAAGATTCCCCTGGAGGAGGGCATGGAAACCCACTCCAATATTCTTACCTGGAGAATCCCCATGGACAGAGGAGCCTGGTGGGGCCCCGTCCATGGGGTTGCAAAGAGTCAGACATGACTAAGCAACTTAGCATTGCACATCCCAGAATACTTATTAATGTTTCGTTTGTTCAACAAATTGTTGAATACCTACTACGTACAAGACATTAATTTCATGGCCAGGAATATAGTAGTTAATAAAACAGACAAAAAAATTCTTGAACTTACATTCTAATCGGGGCAGGAAAGGATAATAATTAAAATTTATAATATGGAACATACAGTACATTAGATGGTGACAAGCAAGAGAGAGGGATAGAGAGTGTGGTGGTGGTGGGAAGGGATTGCAACATTATTTCAAAGATCAGGAATCCTCACTGGAAAAGTGGTTTGGGCACAGATTGGAAAAAAGAGAGCAAACAAGAGAGAAAACTTTAAGAAGAGTACCATTCCAGGTAGAGAAAACAAGTAAAAGGCCTAGAGGCAGGGAATGATGTGTTTGGAGAACAGCAAGGAGGCTAGTGTAGCTGCAGTGGAGAGAGGGAAGGGAGGATTAACAGGGCATGGGGTTAGAGAGGTAATGGGATAGGAGTGGGGGCAGAGACTTAATAGCCACCATAAAGACACAGGCTTGGAATCTGAGTGAGGTGGGAAGCCCTTGAAGAGTTTTAAGCACAGGAATGACATTTCTATTTTAACAGAATCAGTCTGACTGCAGTATTGAAATAAGGAGACTAGACAGAAGGCTATTGCAGCCATCCCAGCGGGGAGGGGGACAACATAGAGTCTTAGGCCAAAGTGATAGCAATGGAAGCAGTGGGATGTAGTCCAGATTCTGAATGTATTTTGAAAGTAGAAGCAAAAGGATTTCTTGACAGGTTGGATGTAAGGTTTGAGAGAAACAAAAGAGTCACAGATGATTTTAAAGTTTTTGGTCAAAAAAAAAATAAAATAAAATAAAGTTTTTGGTCAGAGGCACTGGAAGGGTGAAGTTGCTATTAATTGAAATGAAGACATCATCATTCTGCAAGGACAACTGGTTTGGAATGGGAAATCAAAAGTTGAGTTTTGGACATGTTAAGTTTGAGTTGCCTATTATTAGTGGTATGCTGGTAAATGTTTAACAACTGGCTCTCTAGGGAAAAAAGCTATGTAAGTGTGTGTGTGTGTGTGTGTGTGTGTGTGTGTGTGTGTGTGTATCCCATATCAGTTTGTTATAAAGTTTTCTGGTATAAATGATGCATAGCAAATAATTCACAAATAATAATAAATATACAATACTCCTTATTGTAAATTCCACATGGCCAATTTATACTTATAGAATGTTTTATTCAATTTTTGCCAAACTTGTATTAGTAGCCAGCTAATGGCTGAACTGCTGAATGAGTATAGTTCTAGGATGAATGTTTGCTGATATTTTCATTTGCATTAATGTTGAGATGAAAGTGAAACAATAAAGACATGTTGGAATTCACTACAGAGACATAAGTGGCTGCTATGCTGAATGGGTTAATAGTTTTCCAATACTAGAATATTTCCTCAAGTTTTAAAGTTATTTACAATGTAATAGCTAGACACAATACACTGTAAATTTATTTTGCATTATTAATATTTTCCTATCACTTAAAAAATTATTTATTTATTTTTAGCTGTGCTGGGTTTTCATTGCTGTGCGGGCTTTTCTCTAGTTGCAGAGAGTGGGGCTGCTCTCTAGTCGGGCTTCTCATTGCCGTAGCATCTCTTGTTGTGGAGCATGGGCTCTAGATTGTGTGGGCTTCAGTAGTTGCAGCACATGGTCTCAGTAGTTGCAGC